TGTGTGTGTGTGGGGGGGGGGTGGGCCTACTGATGAAGGGCCGGCATGGCGGCGGGGACCGAGTAAGGCAGAGAGTACTGCCCCCCCCGGCACCAGCATCCAGCACACTGGGCTTGGAATACGACTGTGCCTCCAGCTGGCGCGGGCTTCTGCGTAGTTCCCCTGCTCCCACTCAACGAGGCCATCCTGCTTCGAAACGCGGGGCAGCTCGTTTGCAACGCGGCCAGGCTCGGTCTCTTTGTCTTTCCGCCTTCTTGCACTTCTGGCCCCAGTTCATGATCTGCGCGAGCGTAGTGACATCTGCCACTCGTCGTTCCTGCAAGTCTGAAGAGCTTGGACCCCACGACTCTGATCTTGGGTGTGGCTTGCACACAACGTGCCTGCTCTTCTCCCTCCTTCTTCTCCTGAGCATCAAACGCCAGCAGCCTCCAAAGAAGGTGCAAGTCGTGCAAAGAAGCGGTCATCTGGAAAACGCGGTTGCAAGGGCGTACCTGCGTACAACCGCCTTCACACCTTGTGCCTCGACACGCGACTCCTCTAGCCGAACAGGAGACGAAACTCCAGAAATAGTCAATTTCGACCCACCTCCAGGTAACCTCCACATCGATTTGCAAGCCGCATTGCAGAACGACGATTCGACTTGAGCGGGAGCGAACGTGCGAAGGTCGCCGGCCTGGATCGAGCGTCGTACTCCTGAAGCATCTCGTCAGCTGCCTTACTCTCGCGCTCCAGCAGGGCACATTCCTTCCCAGCACAACTGCCCGGCCTGGTCACCCTTGGCATCTATCCGGTCCCGGATTCCCCGGAGCACATTCAAGTTCTCCTGCGAAGAGCTTTAGTTGGCTGATGTCGGTGCGGTACGGCCTGCCACCATAAATTGATTTCCGAAACGACCGATCGAATTGCACAATGCTTCTTCTGCGGAACCGCACAAGCTCACAAGTTGCGCGAGACTGCAGACAGGAACATTTCAGCTCAATACGGACCTCCATACTGAGGGGCAAGACAAAACACTTTGGTGGGTGGGGGTCTTGGTCAAGTTCAGCTCAGCCAATAGTGTCTCAGAATGATCACTTGCAAACTTCGTCGATTGAGCTGCTGTCCTCATCCAAGAGCACTTCCTCGAAAGTTCTTCTTGTTCTCTCGGCCTGCCCAAAACGTTCCCGTTTTGCACTAGACTAGATGCAGTAACGGAATGCCTTCTCCAGGAAACCAATCAGCACATTCATCGTGATGCTATAGTGCAGAATCGGGGTGACCAAACGCTTGACATCTGCGGGGCTATCCTGCAGAGTCTGTGTAATGTCAATGTCGCAGTGCCAGTTTTTTGAATCATCCGAACGCATGATTTCCTCGAGCAAGTCTGAAAGAAGCTCTCGCCGCTGGTTCATGTCCTTGACCTGTGAAGCGAAGCACGGAAGTTTCCCTGTGCTGGCCTACGATGCAAGACGTCCTATGGTATCCGAGCGCTCCGAGAAGCAGAACCGAAAGGCGCTGGCCTGCTCAAACTGCTTCAGCCACACCTGGAGGCGGTGTCGAGGACACCAGAGCGCTCACAAAAAGCATCAGAGCCCTAGTCTGAGAGGCACTCCTCTCTACGGGCATTCCAATGTTGCTCTGTGCGGAGGAGAGCCTCTGAAAAGCATTAGCCGAAACGGCTCAGTGTTCTTGTAAAAGCTGTCCCAGGCCTTATTGAATGGTCGTCGAGCTGCATGATACCAAAACTCTGGGTCGCTCTGGTCGCGATTGAGGTTCGGATTGTGGCGTGGATCAGTACTGGCATTCAAGGTTGCGACTGCAGTGAGACAACTACAAGAGCAGCACAGCGTAAAGCACCTGTCCAGCTGAAGCTGTTTCCTGTGCCACCTCACCAGGGGCGCCGCAAATCTTTTTGGATGAGCATTTCTGCAAGCAAAACAGGGCACACACACACACACACGCACTGTTCTCAAACAAGAGGCTCCCGGTCTCTAAATTTTGGATCCATCTGCGGGTATCCCAGATCCTCACATGCTAAAAGGGCAGCTCGAACGTGCAAAGGCCAATTGCAAGATGCTGAGCTCTCCCTGTACTCATCGTCAGAAATCCAGGTGGGCATCAGACTTGCAGCCTGCCCAGAAGAGGTGCTCTAAAGCAAACCCATATGCTCTCCAAACCAGCCTTGGGTTCGCTTGACAAGTGAGCGACGGCTGCCTGCAAGGAGCTCTGCGCCTGGAAGGGGCCCGTTGACCAGTCCGGTCCCCATGACAGCTTGTGCCATCTTTGGGCCTCTGCTTGGGCATCAGCTACCGCCCGGCTCGCCTGAAAAATTGCGATCCTTTCCTTCCTCCCGCCGAGCTACAGCAAAGGAAGGGTTGGCCTCTTTGGCTTTCTCTAACTCGCGGCGTGTAGCATCCTGCAGTTCTAGGCCGGCGAATTCGCACTCTTCGTGGTTCTGGCAAATGCAAAACATCGCGAATCATGTCCCGTCGCAACAAGGAACTGTGCTTCTTCGGAGTTCCGTCCTGTGCAGCTCTGCCTGCTATCGCTTCCAACTTTCGGGCAGTTTCCTGCGGAAGCCCGCAAAGTCCAACACCACTACTAGTGCTCAGCCCAAACCAGCAAACTGCCTCGTCGAAGGCAGCACCGCCGAGGCCTCACATCCAGTTGTTGCAGCGATACTTGCCGCACTCTTTTTGAAGAGACAAGGCATGCGCGACTTTGTTGCGTTGTTCTCAAGCTGACGCCACCATCCTGAAACGGGGCAGATTCACCAACCGCCTGGTGCAGAAAGCACCGGTGGTGCCATGATCTCTCAACGACCTTGGCAGGAGCACTTCGCTTGGTTGAGAGCTGCGACAAAGCCTCCTTGCACATCTGAGTTTTCGGAGCATGCGGAGTTTGGTTCGGGCAGGTCCTCCTTAGCTTTCAAAAACTTCTCGTGCTTCACCAGATCCTCCCCACTCAATTCCTGGGATGCACCGTAAGCCATGATTGCAGGGTGCCACGCGCTGCTGGAAAATCTAAAGTTGGACTTCAGTGCTGCAGTTTCGTCAAGCTCCTAAACGGGTTCTTGTCAGACTGACCCAGGCACTTGTTTACACGGCATCGGCTGAACGCTGACTAAGTCCGCCACATCCTCACCGACGATCTTCTTCAGAAGTGCTTCTCTGAAGGCCTGCTGCTTGCATGCTGTTGCGATGGCCACGGCATTGTAATTACACTCCTTCTGTCTATCTCGCGGTTTCTCATTCGCACCGCGTCTTCGTCATGCTATACACGGTGGCAAGCCTGCAAAAAGCTAATGCCTTCGACCTGGAGAGTGGTGAAACTGTACTCCCTTTCTCTGTCCGATAGCTGCCAGCCCCATTTTCGAAACTATTCCCTTCACTTTGCGTGGCTTTCTCCCGGCAGTTTCTGTTCGCGCAAGCCTAATAAGGGCTGCATGCAAACAGCATCACCTCAATGCCATGACATCAGGAGAAGTTGTAGTGCTTCCTGATAGGTTTCTTCACGTCCCAAACACAAGTCATTCCATCCGGAAAGGTTGCAAGGTCCCCTGCCTCAATCTTTGCAGGATCGGCGTCTGACCACTCTCCAGTAGGGGTCACAGTCACCTCACCCTCCAGAATGTATGCAGTTTCAGTTCCGCTGTATTCCCAGTCGAATTTCGATGCGCCGCAGCCCCAAGTTGGCCAGGAAGAGACGCCAAACTTCTTGTCAGCTTCTTCCTTGGACATCTTCTCAACTTTAATGCCCTTCTTGAACCTCATCATCGTCTTTGTCTGGCGTCTGGGTATACTGTGTGACACGAATGTAAATGGCGAGGAAGCGATGACCATCAACAGCACGGTGAGACAAACTGAAGATCGACGACCGACAGACATTCTAGAGTTGTCAGCAGGCTGGCAAGTGCAATCTCGCGGGCATGCGTATGAGCCGAAAGGCTTGCCTCGGAACAGCATGTCCTGGCTTGCGACATAGAAGCATCACAGTGTCGCAACCGAGAGTCTTGCCTCGTCGCAATGTGCAGACTCCTGACTCTGCGGACTCTGACTGTCGTTGCCCGTCAAACCTGCCATACAGCTTGCTGGCCTGCACTTCAGCGACCATCGGGCCTACAGAGCGGCTGTAAGCGACAGGCTGTGTGTTCTGGAAGTTTGCGAACGTAGTTAACGAAATCGAATCTCCGTTACACTCGACAATGCTGCAAGGTGGCTGGGCATATTCTGAGTACAACTATAAGTGGGTTATGAGGGTGTATGACTGGGTCAAATCGTTCGCCGTGTCTGGCATGTTCGAAGCTTCAGCTGCAGCAACGGCAACGGCAACGACAGTGACTAGACAAATCATTTTTGCATGTGCAGTGTCTGTTCCGAAACACTGAAAGTTCTTACACGCTCATAACGAAGACAGGATCAGCAACGATAACGCATCTTCAACCCACTACGAAGAGTCGGACACTGGCGCCAGTTTATCTTGCGAGCTTTTCCCAATCTCAGCTGAGCTGGCTGGGCAGGCTCGCCCTGCCTGCATCTTGTCAATGCGTCACGCTGCACAGTGTGAACAACTGTACCGGCACGAGACTTGTAAAGCACAGCCTTCGACCATCAACCGCATCACACCTGGCGAGCATGCTGCCTGATTCTGGTAGGACCATTCCTCCTTGCAGCTTCGAAGCCTTTGCTCGTTTGGCTGCAGGCTCTGCAACCTCCACTTGGCCAAAATCTGCAATTGTGTCACGAGTGTCATGCCGGTGCGGAGCAATGCTTACTCTCCCGAGTCTGCCTCGCTCAAGGCTTCCCGCAGCGCCGTGCAAAACTTGTGCACATCATGGAAAGAACTGGCACATGGTGATGTTACATGACACCCAAGCGCTTTACCAGGGCTTCAAGTGCTTTCCGGTGCTTTCGAAAGCTTGCCAGCAGCACTTGTAGAGAGGAGTAGGAGCAACACGAATGACATTGGGCTTCCTGTGGTCGACCACCTTGGTATATCAAAGCTCGTTTGCTACTGCGAGATGCTGACTGGGCCATTTCGTGCATGCTGTGATTGACGTCCTCGGGTCGTTGCTATTCCACGCCTTTCCAGGGCGGTAAAGGTTGCCAGGCACGATCTTTCCTTTCAGGAGGATCGGAGCAGCAGTGTCACTCAACAAATTCCGGTCGAACCTTTTGCAGCGAGGCATGAATGTCGCAAGCCTCGCTGAACTTCAGGCTTAGCTGACACCCGCGCGAGGAGGGACATTCCGGAGTAATCACCTGCTGTGCCCCGTGGTAACACGAAGCTGTGAGCACTGCTCTTTGGCTTTGGCAAAGGGGACCCTGTGCAGCTTAAGCCCGGCCAAGCAGCAGAGAGTTGATCCCCGACAAGATCAGCGATGAGCAGTTCCAGGTATGCTGTCAACAGCATCGACCTGCTGGCCATAACCGACGAGGTGTTTATCGGATGACTGTACGAGTCGCGATTGCTCAGCAACATACCAGCTTCTCTTCTCCTCCTTATAGATGCTAAACTGCCGACGTTGGGCATCACTAGTGCGCAAGCTCTTGTGATCTCAGGGATGCCTTCAATGATTTTTCGAAACCCGCAACAAGCCCGCTAGTACCGGTTTAATGTTGCGAGCTTGCATTGTCCTCACGCGTCGATCCCAGGGTTTGACTGAAACTCTTCAGCTACTGCCGCCACCTCAACAACATGCACCGAAGGACTGCACGGCCTGCCGCGGAGCTCTGACATTGTCGTCCTGCAAAACAGTGTAGTCTGGTCGACACTACTTCAGCACTTGTACGCGTCTTTTCAAGCGGCTTGTGCCTCGAAAAAATTTCCAAACTCGCAAGCAACGAGACGGTCTGCAGAACAGGCGGATTGGACAACCGCCAAGCTCCAGCGTCGACCTGCCGTGCCGGTGCCCAAAGGGCAGGTCATTGCACACGGTCGCAGTCTCCGCAGGCGCATGTCTGACGTGAGCGCTCGCCTCGGGGTCCCAGCTGTGTTCCATGTTGAAGCGCACAGCCTGCTTCTGGCCTCAGAAACGGATCGGCGAGCATAGCTTGGCCATGAAGGATTTTGGCCCCGGCCCCACCACCCAGCTAAAAGGGGAAGTCCTGGCGACGAACAGGAATGTGCCGCCGGCAGTGGTCTTCACCGTGTCCTTTGTTGAGATGTTTTCTGTGCACGAAGAAGCCACCGATTGCACCAGGGCCGGCATTGAGGTACTTGTAGTTGCACCTGCAAGACTACCAGTAATTTGGACCAACAGCGAAGACTGTGCTTGAGAAATGCACCAGCAGGCTCCGTCCACGCCCCATTCGTGCAAGCTCAAATCCTCGGCGGATTGCAGCGAACTCCTATCCTTCAGAATTGCAGTCCCACTTATGCTTTCTCAAGGCTCGTTTTTCTCCTGTGCGACGACGGCATTTGAATGGCCATCGGGTTCTTAGCTGAGTTTTCGTTCCTACTTACATGCTCCGGCAGCCCGACCCAGTTTATAGTTGGGGCACCATGGCTAGGGTTCGGGGGCGGGTCCTGCCGGCGCGAGTTCGGCGTGCATATGACATCCTTTTGCCGCTTTGCCGCAAGAGCACAGGAGCTACTTGTAGGAAGTCGGACAGCGCCACGGTCATAAGACTAAGACATAATCCAAACACTCACCTCTTGGAATCATTAAAAAAACGTTTGCCGTCTCGACGGAACTAGCCCATTCAGCTCCAGTCAAAGGGCCATCCACATGCAAGTCACGTGCGACACAAGGTCTCTGCAAAACAGGCACGGCTCGTCGTTTGTGTTGGATGAGAGCGAGCTCCCTGGCCTTCGGGTGCTTCGCGTTCCCTGTCGTCGGAAGTTGGCTGTTTCGCGCAAGCCCTTCCTTCCCTGTGTTCATGTTTCTTGTTTCCTGTGCTTCTGCTGGATGTTTCGCACACCCCCCGAGCAAACTGGATTCGTATCTACGCCGACAGTAACTGCGCAACAAGGGAAGGCTTCAAAAGGCTTCAACTTACACATTCTTGAAAACGCTGCGAGTCGTGGGATGTCATAAGTTGGATCTTCTTTGGGTCGCAGGCCGCGCGGCCAAAGGTCGGAGCTGTTCACCGGCAAACACTTTTTTTTGTTGTCTGCTTTCGAACTTCAACATCCTCAAACTGCTTTCAGGCTTGCATGGGTTGATCCTGAGCCCGCGTCTACATTTCCCACAGCATGGGCACAATCCCAAATCGCCTCAATTGCGTCTCGAGGATTCCCAGCTTGGCGCTTCAACTCTATCGACAGTGATAAAGGCGAACTCCCAGGGGCGAACCATTGCTCCCACAGCATGGGCAGCCTCTGTGATGGCCTTAACATCAAAATATTGGCCAGTGTAGTACCTGTCTCCATGCAGAACGTCAGGTCCGGCTTGTCAAACGAAGCATGATGAAGCATGGGAGCACTGCACGGTACCCAAACAAACAACTGCAAGGCTGTCTCCCGCCGCCTGAGAGGAGCAGCACACACGGGCAGTCCACCGGCAGTGGTGTTGGATTTTGCATTGGGGCGTAAGCTTGGATTGCGCTCACAATGTCCTCGGTGTGGAGCAGCTCTTCACCAGTTCGAGCCTCAAAGGCCAATATAGAAAGTCTTCTGCAGTATGCCAGACTCTCATGGATCTCTTCGGTCACCCTCCTCTGCAGTTCAGCCGCTGCCGAATTCTATCTCCAGCAAAAACCAAGAAGCGTTCAGCGGCAGGAGCACTTTCGTCGGATCTAGTCCGTGCAAACGCGCCTGTAGGAAAACAGTCTCAACTGATGGCCGCCACGAGGGCTGCGGACCAGTGACGACCAGTGCTCTCACCCAGCTCCTAATCTCGGACCCGCCTGCGATTCGAAAGCAAAATAGTCCGATCCGAAAGCGCTGGCCTGTGCGGGTGGTCCGGTAGCGCCTTGAGTTGACTGGGAACGTCCTGGCCTCGTACATTATTCTGTTCCGACTCCCTTCTGGTCGATAGAAGGATACCTGACAGTGAAGCATTCCAGGATTGACATAATAAATTCGTTTCGAAAAAGGCGAGCGGTCCAGGCCAAGCTGCAAAAAGCAAATGCAAGTTCACTGTGAGGCTGTTCATAATGGCTACCTGCAGCAATCGGAGAATGTTTGAAGCAAAGAGCGTTTTTCCTACCGCTTACCTCATCTTTTTCTGCTCCGACAATGGCCGCGCTCTGCCTAGCAAAACACGAGAAACGTGTGGACATGCATCCGGATAACAGACTGGCTCGTAAAAGTCAACCTCGCTTTGCTGAACTCTTCGGGTCAGCACTGGATGACAGTTTCGTCTATGGGCATCCACGGCCGGTCCCTGCCATTGCAAACTTTGCTTATTACAAACTTCACCATCCTTGTATCAACTGATCATTCCTGAGAGCTGCACCCGGTGAAATGGCCATTTACACCCCATTTTGCCCACTTGTCCAGCTCCTGTGTTACATGGCACGCAACAGATCCAAGATCTGCTTGGAAATCTCATCGCATCCTCCGAAACCAGCACTCTGGTTCGGGATGGCTGAAGTCCAAGCGAATTCCTGGCATGTCGGCATGCGGGAAAACAGATGAGCCATGACGGCATGCTGCGCACCAAGAAGTCACGACAGGAGGGCCCGACAAGATAAACGCACTCTTCATCGACCCGCACCAGTGCTGGATCGATTCCTGGCAAGCCTCCCTTTGAAGGCACCTCAAGCGGGCAGCAATCGAATGAAAAGTGTATCCAGCGAGCACCGAGACGGGAGCCAGGAATGCAGCACGCTGAAAAGACGGTAGGTCTTGGAACTTCTTGTCCAGGAACTTTGCTACCTGTTTGGGGCAGCTAACGGCAGCTACGACGGTGCTTTGACTTGATGCGCACTTGCAGTTGAATAGAAGTTAACGTTATGACTTAGTCATTGTTGGAACAACTGCCATGCACAACTTCGCACCTCCACAGCCGAAACTGATGCACCAAGGGCCTGATCACAAGTTGCGTGGGGTACAGGTCAGTCGATGACTGTGCAAACTTGCCTGCGCAGCATTCTGCAGATCTGATTTCGCTCCGCGGCCATGGTTCGTCGCTAATGATGTCAACCATGCCTTTGTGCTGCAGGCTTCCGATATTCAGCATTTCCAGCTGCTGCAGCGCACAAATGGGAGCGGCACCGAATCTAAACTGCCGCCTCAAGGAGGCTCCAAGCATGGCAACATCATTCGTTCACTTCGAACCCACCTGGTGTCAGTGCGTGGTGATCGATGGAGGAGCCATTGCGTTTTGCATTAGGCATGGTGCTGCTTGTCAATGCTTCTACGATGAGACTGCTGGCTTTCAATCTCTTTCAATCTACTGATGGGGCAGTGTCATGGCCAAGGCTTTTTCTGGTCCGACCTGCCCCCCCCCCCCCTTCTGGAAACCCAAGGTGCAGTCTGCAAGGGCCGGTCTCAAGCGGCTGTCCGCCTCTTCTGGTACTTGCAGCAAGGAAGGATCTGTGCAAACCACGTAGTCCTGTGGCCAATTCGAGTGTCACATCGCACTTCTGGTTTCTTGCAGTGCCCAAACGTATGCCTTGAGCCTTAGGCTGCAAACATCCGAGTCTTGATGCGACATGACATTTCAGTCTCGTACGTGGATTCAGGAAGCGTGACGCTGACGTGGCAAACAGTCTGCCTTTTGGGCTGGTTTAGCCCGGGCGCATGCTGAATGTACTATCAAGCATACCCTTGCTATGCACATACGCCTCCTGTCTGCTTGGCAGGCACAGGAGCACATGCAAAGAGGATCCAGAATTCGCATGTGCAATGGTTTGCAAGCAGCACAATGTAGTGCAGAAGTCCCTGCCCTTTGCGTGTCATCTTGCTGTAGAGCCTGTGCACACTGTTGTGACATGTCATGGCTGGCCCTTCAAGATACCCAAGCTTCATTGATCAATGTCGACATGAAGAGAAGCCAGGAAACACCTGAATCGGGCGAAACAAGCCGAATCCAAACGCCACAAAATGCTCCAGATCCTGAGCTGGCGACAATAGAATCACGAGAGATCCGAGCTTGACTTGACCAGCAGACCCTTCGTCTGTGCCTCGGGCAACATTGCAACACCTCACGCCGACATAATGGCACTGTTGTCTTCTACAAGCATGCAGCTTCGGAATCAGAGTTGACAGGAAGGCAAGGCAGTCTTCAAAGATGTGGATGGCCCCCTTCGATTTTTCAGGATTTTCCTTACGCAAGACTTGCATACTTCCCATCTGGAAGGCAGCAAGGACTCCCCTCACAGAGCCCGGATCCAAGACTAAATTTGAGGCGGGAGAGCCCGGAACCCATGGTTCCCCCGAGCTTGTCGGGGCGCACCCTACCCATCCCTACCCTCAAAACAAGGGATTCTCGCATTGGCCAATTCATGACGTCTTTGTTTATTTATGAGTATGGAAGCAACCCACCAGCAATACAGCTCACCTCTATTGGTTCCGTAAAAGGCACATGTTGGCTCGCTGAAATAAGTTCAGCTTGGCTTACTTTATTGGGAGTGGTGCAAACCAGGCACCTTCCAACCTTCCATCCCATCCCCTATTCCTGCCTGTTGACCTAGAGCTTCTGTGTCCGATTGCGTCCGAATCCAAACTCGCGCTTGACCAGTGCATGGCGGCGGAAATCACCGGGCAACCTGGCGCATTGGAAGCAGCTCGACCAGCCCAAAGCCTTCCAGAGTACCTCAGTGGACGTACGCAGAGTTCAGTCATGTGGATCGCGCAACCCCGCTCATGATTGCAAGCCGCTTTATAGGGTGCTCTGGAATGATGCGGGTCACGGTTCGCATCAACGATCTTTTCCCCCTCCTCGTTCCGCACGCGTGTGATGAAGCTCCATGTTGTTGAGTTGGGTACATACCTGGAGAGACTAGGTTCTTGCAGCAGACTTCGAAACAACATGCCCCCAAGAGCCCCACCCTGGATTGCTGACATCAACCTCAAGCGTATAGTTGTTCCGCAGCAGACCTCAAGCCAAGCACGATTTTCACCAAACACAGCCACACCGTCTCTTGATGATACTTGAAGCTACATGTGCAAAGCATAGGTCGAAGCCTGCGCCATCTGGAAATCGGACACTGACCGTGGCATTGTCGTATCCCCTGCAGGTCATGCCTGAACAAACGCTGTCGATTTTTACATGCGGTGCTCGCACCTCGGCCCAGCCTTCCGGAGGGAAAACGAAGCCGATGTCATAGCCGCGGTTGGTGGTTGGCTGTTCCACGGAGTTGCCTTGCCGATGCATACAGACAGAGTTGTAGATGTTAGTGTCGGACATGGATGGCAAAGGCCCGGACTAAGTCGCAACCGAAATCCTTCCGTGCAGTTTGTGGGGAAGATGAAGCCGTCTGGGCCTGACAGCACCTGGGACATATGCCGCAGCCCGCTGCTGGAGCGATGTGGTGGACAGGACACTACGTGCTCGGAACAGTTTGTGGAGGGCATTGAAAGTACACAAACAGAGCAGCGTCCAGCTTGGGATGATGTGGTGTTAGCCGGCATGCTACTCAAAGTTTTAGAACTCCCGTAGAGACACACGGAAGGGGTTCATCGGCCGTCGGCGACAGCACTGCTAAAGCGTTGCGATTGCGTACTCCGTTGGGAAGCTTTCAATCCAAAAGAACTTAGTTCACAACTGTGTGCTGATTCGCATAGAATGGAGAGCTTCTCACTTCGGAAAGCCTGCACATGCTACTCCGTCGGCTACGGGCAGAGGCATGTTTTCCACTGGCCTGTGCACGACTAGGAGTTTGTACGGGGCATCTGCAGTGATCAGCTGATGCACGGATACCGTCTGGCCAAGACCTGCCTCTGGCAACCCCAGGGCAGCCGCCAAGCCCCTTCGTCTCTGTTCGTGCAAATGGATGTGGACGCCTGGGTGCGTCGTGCTTTGGGCATCAAGGGCACCAGGCCCCGTACACAGAGTTTCAGCAGCTGGTATGGAGGCTTCCGAAGTCCTCTCGTCACACTCCCACTCAGGATGTTCTTCACAAAGATGGTGGACAAACGAGTTCCTGACAGCACAGTTGTCCAAGCGGCCTGGATCCACACAATAAAAGCTTCCACCCGGAGCCAGGTGGTTCTGCAAAGCCAGTACCAACGAGGGGAGGGAACTCCGATCGTAGAGTATGTCGGCCCCGAGGATCACATCAAAGACTGGGGCTTCACCTGCAACACAAGCCACACGTTCTTCCCCTCCATCCGTCCCATGTCAATTGCAACATTGCGACACAGCCTCGGGCCTTCTGTCGGTTGCGCAGCAGCCCAATCCAGTGACCATGCTCGCAGCGGGAGTTCGTGCTCCCGATGTGCAACAATGTTCAGCCGAATGTTCCGCTGCAGCTTATCCAGAACAGGCCCCGGACGATCAGAAACAACAACCTGATCGCCAATGATCAGGGGTCGAGATGCTCATGCACTTCTGTTCCAAGCGAGCCATACAGGCGCGGGCATGCACACTAATGTATTTGCTTGCTCACGTCCTTACTTACCTACTGACCTTCCTATGCATGCATGCATCCTGTGCCAAAAGGTTAGACTGTGTCATCGGATGATCGAGCACTCGAGGTCATCAACCAAAACGGTCCCACCCACAATGGCTGGTGAGGTAGCCAAGGGCTCTCCTGGACCCCCACTGCTGAAGGCTAGCCTGATTGACTAGTTGTTGCTTCTATTGCCGTATCTCTTTCGTCGCCCAGCTGCTTTCCACAACGTTTTGGACTCCGGTAGCTCAGCTTGGCGGGGCAGGCGATCGGTCGAGTTGGTATTACTGGGATGTGATCCTACGACACGAATGATTACCAATTGTAGAATTAGACATGATAGACTCTAGCTCTGTAAGCCCTACTCACCCTGCAGGTTCTCAGGCGGCTGGCTTGGCTCGGGCTGGTTTAAGGGGGAAAAGAAGCACGTTGTCGCCTCCTGGGCTCCAAGCGTCGCAGCCACCAGCCCCCCGGTGCCGAGGCCGCTTCCCAGCTCCAGCACACGCCGCGACCTGACGGATCCTGAAGACACCAGCCAGGCCGCCAAGACCTTGAAGACTCAAGGGCAATGAGTCTCAACAGTGCATTGCATGGCATTGCTCAGGTGTCGCGGCGAAAACTCAACTCCGGACAAGCCCAGAGCCCCACAGCAGCTCGCCCTGCAACCATGCTTGAGAGAATTTCAGCCGCTTGCTCCCGCGTTGCCCTTTGGGCGAAGTCGCATCTTCGGCTTTCCTCCGCCGTTCTTCGGAATCAGTCAATTGCAGCAGGCAAGATGTCGACATACCTCGGAAACAACACCAACGTTTTTTCAGTTGCTAGGGTGGTAGCATGTGAGCTGGCACGTATGCGCGAGTGTATGCGCACGTGTCGAAGCACGGTGTGATTTGTGCACCTTGCCCAGTGACCGGGCAAGTACAACTTGATCAGGCTGCTGGCTTCGACATTGTTCCGGTCCTCCTGCGAATTTGTGTCTGAACCACGGGGTTCCGTCACCCGCGGCTTCACGTACGTGCGCGGGGACAGAGCCAGCTCCGAGCATGCTGCTTCCAGTAGGCTAGGCATGGCTGGGTGCATACATGCTAAAGGACCGTCATAGACCCCTTTTGGGAGACCTGAGCCAGAAAACAGAGGCAGCAGCATCTGCACGGGAGATTGAAGCCCTTTGCACGGGGCGTGCGAGGAAAAATGGTTTTGGATCTGGAGCCGAGGCACAAGTTCGTTTCCGATGTCTGCCTGGTTAAGAATGGTGGATTGTCTGAAGACCTCGAGTGGCGATGCGGCACACAAATGTGTTAGTGCACCTTGAGCACGAGACAAAGGACAGGCGACTGCTCGCTCTGTCAAGCCCGTGGCAATGCGGAGCGGATTTATTTGCCCGAAGTAGTTGAAAGTTGCTTGAATGTCAACCTGGCCGCGGCACGGGGAGAGGTCAACACAGGCCGGAGTTCCGCTCTGACTGATAGGCCTCAATGCGACCAGTGATGTCAAAGCTCCACACGAAGTCGCGCATGTCGAGCACGTCGGCAAGCGGGCCTCAGTGACAGGCTTTCAGTCAAGGTGCGCTGCAAGCCGCAACCAAGTCTTCGCGTACCTGCCGTGTGAGCGGGTGTGCTAGAAACTGGGGTCACGGCTGATGATGCGGAAATTGAAGTAGTTCTGCTGTGGGGTGAACTCTGGATTCGACCTGGGTTTCATCACAAGCTCTACAAAGAGAGCGAGACACACACTTTGGCTCGGCACGA